GCTTTGGCTACTTCCCTTGCTAGTCTCACCCTTTCCTGCAGATAAAGGAAGTAACCTTCTGAGTCATCTGATTGTGCCAGTGTTGGCTCTCAGCCACACAGAAGTAGCTCCCATCCTGTGTTAATAACGTAACATGGGATGCCTGTATTCTATATCTCTTCTATGCAATGCTGTCCCGTTGTGACAGTTTATTTATTTGAAAAGTTTGCATTTGAAGGTGGCTTTTAAAAAATGGTAACGAGAATTATAGCGACCCCCTTGAATGGGAATGTTATAGATCTCTTCTGATCTCTAGAGGTGATGATGTTCAACATTGGCATATTGATTGTTACTAAACATATGTATGGGGATGATCTGTCTACATTGCTGTCTAACATCAGTGGGTAATGGAACTCTTTTTAAAATGAGAGGGGCCAAGTGACCCCTCTAGCAGTACAGCTGTTGAAAGAAGATGCTTTGATATAGAACTCAAACCAATACCTCAAAAGAATCCTATACTCTAGTACCTGTTGCAACCCCTTTTCCAAAAAAGTCTTTTGTCAGTGTCTTCAAAACAGCTATAGACTAAAGGTTAGATTCCCTTGATTCAACTGACTGCAAGTAACTCATTGGGGATCACAGCAAAAAAGATTGGCAAATTATGTTAATCCCAAGTGTTTTATGTATACAAATGAACTGGAAGGTTGATTTGCTTGCTTCAGCTTTTTGCAATTAAGATAATCAGTGTATGATTTTATAAAAATGCAGCAAGTATTGAACTGCATGCTCTTCTGCAAATTCATATTCTTAGGTAGTCTGAATCAAATTAAAATAACCTATGGTGTGAAAGCCGAAGAAGGAAATTAATCTGAGCTTCTTGCTCACTTATTCCTTTCTTAGTTATGCTATTTTGACACCTTTTTTGACATCTCTGTATTAATTAGGTACAGATGAACGGAGACTCCACAGTATGCTTTGTGGTAACTCTGTTTGCCTTTATCCTGTCTCCCCCATCAACACTTTTCTCCGGTTCGTCGTGCCGAGACTTGTTTGCAATGGAAATAAAAGGAAGGGGAGGGGTATCTTTGAGCTACAGCAAGATTATGAAGATCTTGCTTGTGTCACGGTTGCAAAGCTTTGGTCAGGGATGGGAAAACAAGAGATAAAGAGGTGGCCACTCTTTGGAAAAGTGCAGGAGACTTCTGGGAAGCTGAGGCTATTATCCTCATCGAGCAGGACAGGTTGTTGTTAAGCTGCCTTGAGTCCTCTTGAGGAGAGAGGTGGGGAACTTTGGCAAGGTAAAGTTCTACTTCCTGTGGAGAGTAGCTGACAGCCATGTACATTTCCATTTCCTTTTGTATTGGAACTGGCAGCCATGAGTGTTTCCATTTTCTTCTACTTTGAAAATGGGAGAAAACCCATTTCATGTACTACCCTAAAGAGCAGATTAAGGAAACAGCAGCCTACATTATTCATTATATATTCATCCACTAGTTGTATCCTGGCTTTTCTGCAGGGGGCTCAAGGTGGCATCCACACTCTCCTCTTCACCTCCTTCTCACAACAACTCTGTGGGGTAGGTGAAACTGAGAGCAACTGGTCCAAAATCGCCTATGGAATGTCATGATTGAGTGGGGATTTCAGCCCGGGTCTTCCCTTTCTGTTCCATATTCTGACCACTTTGTCACTCTGACTGTCACTTTTTTATTATTATTTTTTTTTCATTTATATTATTGTTGTGGTAAAGTCCAGGTGGGCAAAGTGAACCAGCCAGATGCTGCTGGATGGCAATTCGTAGCATTCTTTACTATGTGGGTGTTTTTAAGAGCCAACTTAAGACCTGGCTCTTTAGGCAGGCTTTCCCTCCTGTCATCAGTTGATTATTTTTTATTTTTCCCCATCTTGAACTATATTATTATTGTTGCTTTTTATTTTATTTTATTTTATTGCTCTTATTCTATTTTTTATGTTAGCCGCCCAGAGTAGATATATGTCTAGATGGACGGGGTATAAATTTAATAAATAAATGAATAAATGAACCGTGTTGGCTAGGACTGTTGGGAGGTATTATCCAGATTGGTATTTGAATAAATGAACCGTGTTGGCTAGGGCTGTTGGGAGGTATTATCCAGATTGGTATTCAAGAAGTTTGGTGGCAGAATGGGGATTTGGGGGGGCTGGCGAATTCAAGAATGGTCATGTCAAATGGTCTGTGTTCCCAGAACCAGTATGTTCAGGAAAGGAGAACCATTTCCCTTAACACTTGACCATAATATAGGATGTTGTCGCTATGTACCATCAAGTCACCTCTGATTATAGTGACTCTGTAAATGACCTGTTCTGATAGCTGTGCTCAACTCTATAAATTCAAACCCGTGGCTTCCTTGAAAAAAATAAATCCATCCCATATTTGATCTTCCTCTTTTCCTGCTGCCTTCAGCCTTTCCCAGCATTTTTGTTTTCTCCAGAGTACCCTGTTTGAGATGTGCCCAAAATAGGACAGCCTCAGTCCTTCTGCTATCCTCATCCTAAACCATTCAGAGCTTTATGGTGTCCTCAACAGCACTTTGAATTGGGACCTGAAACAAATTTGAAGCCAGTGTAGCTGTTGCAAGTTGGGAGCCACACATTCCTTGTATGAGGACTCCTGTAACATAACTGGTAATAATTAGACAATAGCATATTGTTGAAAATGGTAGCCTTTAGTAATGGCTTTAATCCAGTTCATCAAGGCATAAAATCAAGTTCGCCATCATAAATGTGCTGGACATTCTGCCCTGGCAAGAAGGAATGCATGAGGCAATTGCACAATCAGTTGAATGGTTCCCACTTGACCAACTAACTGCACAATGTACCTGCTAATGGATGTGCTTTGTGCGTAACTTTTTCACCTTGTGCAGTTGCAGATACACTCAGATGTAATGACACATTATGCCCATATATGTACACAACTAGATTTCAACCATTATGAAATAAAAGAAAATAGGCACAGAGAACTATCAACTTTTTGGGGTCTCTAGAGGAAAAAAGAAGGGGCATAAATGAGCCCAGCCTGTTGTTGGAGCAGGTATGAGATGGGACTTGAAGGTCTAGTACCCAATCCTTTTTTAGATGTGACACTAATTGGATGACTTTGAGAAAGCTGCCTGCTGCCTCTCAGCCTGAACTGAAGCAGGGTAATCTCAGGGCTTTTTATAAAGCAAATGAGGTAAAGAGGAATAGCTTAGGATCTGTTTACTTAATTTGTTTCCTTAGTAAAAGCACATTGGTGAAACCAGCCTCTTGCATGAAAAAAGAAAAGTTATTACAAAAGAGAAAAACTTCTGGTATCACAAATAATGAATTGTGTTCCAGGAAGAATACTGTTTTTCCATTTCAATATATGATTTGTCAAATGTGTTGCAGGAAAAAGAAAGGTTACACCTCACCAAATGAAAGGATATTAGCAGGAGCACAGAAAAGAGATGTGATATGGGCTATTATCCTGCTAAATAAAATAAAATTTCAATTTCCTTTCCTTTCCTTTTTAAAGTACCTTTATAATCTTTTGTACCTTCATGCACAAGTTATACCAAATTCCATACTGAGGGGATACTTTTATAGGTGAACCAAAAGGTATTAAAGTGTGTGTAGAAGCACACCAAAGTGAGGATTAAGCAAAGTGTTAAAAGTAAGCTTTCTTGAAACATGGGTTAGATTGGGAAGTTAGGGAAGCTGGAAATGTTTGTACACTTTTTTGTATACACACAGACAGATATACAGATTGTCAACTGGCATCAACCATTATCAATCTACCTCAAAAGACGTATCATATAAAACAGTTTTCTTGGTGAAGTTTTACCTGAGGGGGTAGATATGTTTTGCTGCAAGACAGTTATAAGAAACTAGGAAATCGCTGTGTCTTTTCAAACAGTTGTCCTGAGCAGATATAGCAAAGTTACAAAGGTTGCATCATAGCAAGACAGTGGTGGCAAATACTTTGTATTCTTCATCAGGTGAATTGCACCTATGCTGGATATAAAGACATGTAAGCCTAAAACCAAATTGCTAAACTAGAATAGATCCATTGGATTTGTTGCTGAATGATAAGTCAACTGTTGCATAAATCCCATTGATTCAGTGATTCTCCTTTATTTGGGGCTTGCAGTTGAATTCAGGCCTAAACTGCTTTTTCCTGCCGTTTGTTTGAATCTTCAAACTGACCCAACCCCACTGAACTGTGCTTCCGTTGTGTATGTTTCCAAGACAGGAGTTCAAACAAAGGCCTTTATAACCAGCTTGACATTCTTATTAACTGAAAGAAGGAGGCAAGGGTGGGGGTCGGAAACCACATCATGTTTTCTATTTTGGTCTGTTCATGCTCTTCTGCTTGGCTGAATAATGGCCTCACTACCCTGGACCGCCAGTTTTTGTTTCCTGTAACTGGTATGATGAGGCTAGAGACTCTTGCTATCAGTCCTTTTGCTATGCAACCGTGTTTTGGGGTGCACTAAATTTCAGAGGTTGGAAATGACTAGTTACAAATAAATGCAAGTTACCTTTTTTCTTTTCCTGCTATAATTACATTACATGATACTAACAGGATGAATAACTTAATTCATTTCACAGCATCACAATTAATGGCTGTTGCTTTCTGCTACAGTTACAAGGTTTATATAGCCTCACTATTTAGGTGTTTCTTGTAGTATTCTGATTTTGAAACTAACTTTTGTTACTTTTGCTAATATAACAGTAACTATATTTCTAGCACTCAGAGCAGTAACTGTTAACTTTAAAATTGTAACATAATGGCAGTTATTGTTCTGACCCTTGGAACTGATTTAATGACTGCATGAAAGCAAATTTCAATGCTTATATCAATGAGTGATGTGCTGCTGTGAAGATAGATGGCTATGCACTGACCACTTGTGTCTGTTGTAAAGGGTCACCCAGATATAGAATGTACTGGAACAAAGCTTACAGGGCTATGCCCTTATCAGTTGTGATTATTGATATATTATTTTCTAACCACTTGCTTGCAGTATCCATAATGGAGTAATAGCTGTGTTCCAGCGGAAAGGACTTGCAGAACATGAGCTTTACAATCTCAATGAAGGTGTCAGGTGAGTAAAATCATGACAGACTGTACACTTTTTCCGACACATATTCATCAATTTTGTTGTTGCCGTTTAATATAATAATAATATAGTGGTTCCTCGACTTGCGAACTTAATCCATATTGGAACGGCATTCGTAAGTCGAAATGTTCGTAAGTCGAAGCACCATTTCCCATTGAAATGCTTAGGAATGGGATTAATCCGTTCCAGCATTTCAAAAAAAAAAATTAATATTAAAATAATAAAAAATAAACACAGCAAGTCCCACGCTGGGACTGGAAATAAAATCCAAAAAGAAAACAACACAGCAGAGAAACATAATCCCCCCCAGTCCAAACCTACCCTCCGAAACCCACCAGAACAGTTTTTTTTTTAAAAGGAAAAAGGAGCACCTTACCCGTCCAAAGCCTCCCAGCGCTCCACTGCCTCTGCCAGGGGTGAGCGGCCAAGCGCCCGGCTAGCACAAGCCTCCTGGCGCTGCGTGACCACTGCCTCCGACCACGGTGGTGGGGGACCCTGGGAAGTCTCCCAGGGCTTCCCCGCTGCCATCAGAGACCTCCTGGAGGTCCCCTGCCACCACGATTGGTGCCTTCAGGCTTTCTTGGGGGGTAGACCAGGCCTTCCAGGGGAAGCCCTTCTGATGGTTTCCCCTGATAGGCCCAGTCTACCCCTGGGAAAGCCTGGTAGACTGGGCCTACCAGGGGAGACCTCCAAAGGTGCCGCTCATCGTGGTGGGGGACCCCCAGGAGGTCTCCGATGTCAACAGGGAAGCCCTGGGAGACCTCCCAGGGTCCCCCTGCCACCATCGGAGACCTCCCAGGGGTCCGTTTTCCTAACCATTGGGGCGAAAGAGCAGCCTCTTCGCCACCAACCATTTGAATGGAACGAAAAAAGGCAGGGGAAATTTGAATTTCCCGCCCTTTTCCCCCGCCGTTTTTCCTTTACCCTTTTCAGTTTTTTCTAGGTAGAGAGAATTCAGGAGTGGTTTACCTTTCCCTTCTTCTGGGGGCACTCTGAGACTGAACAGCTTGCCCAAGGTCACACAGGCTGGCTCTTCTTGGATGCACAGTGGGGAACTGAACTCTTAGCCTCTGGCTGTGGAGCTACATACCAAATTCACTGAGCTATCCAGCCAGCTTGTTGTTGTTGAAGGAATGTTCTCTATATTTATTTTGCATTAATTCCTTTTTTTTATTATTCTATTGATATATACAGTGCCATTTATAATAAACGGATTGGCAAGATGCTGTTTTGCAGATCACATGCTCTTGCCTGTTATCCATCATCCTCTTCGCAATTCAAATATGGTGGTGAAACATCAGTGATTTTGGGGGTGGGGCGGAATGGACACCAAAGGTTTTTCATTAAGACAAGTTAAAATGCACCCCTGAATACATCATGCTTTTGTAGAATAAGGTGCATCTTTTCTGCTTGCCTTCTTTCAGTAGGAAAACGGAAGGTGTGTTGTTGTTTGCTTCATCAGAAGGGTAGCTTTTCACCCTTCTGCCACTGCGTTGTGTCAGTGCCAGAAGCTGCACAGTAGCAGTGCTGTTGTTCAGGATTGTGTGGATCTTTAACATGCCAGCACCACTTATATATCATGTTGAGAGCTGGCCACCTCAGCAGCAGACTTTGGGAAAACAAAGGAGGGGCATGAGAATTGATAGTGCAGAGTGGTGAGTCTTCAGGAGAGTAATTGCTGCCTGTGTAGGGCCATTCACCCTGAAGAGAATCTCTCATGGTAATATTCTTTTTTTAAAAAAATATATTTTTATTCATTTTCATAGGGTACAAATGTTGTTTGTACAAATAGGGGGCCAGATAAGAAGGGGAGAAGGATAAGAAAGGGTAAAATTCCAAAGAGTGAAAAGTATTCTTACATCCACTTATACAATTGTATTAAAGATGGAAATCATACAAAGAGAAAAAAAAATTATAACAATTTTCCATAATATTTCTCATTACTAATCTTCCATTGTCTTGGACTTTCTCTTTCTTTTCATCTGGCATGGCATATTCGATTCCTCAAGGACAGAAAATGATAAGGCAAACTTTGTATATCTGGATCACCAATTTTAGCATCAGTTTAATAGTACGTTAGGACAATTGTTTAGATTTAGTGAGAAATGGGAACACAAAGACAAGGTGGGGCAAATCTGGGGATGCATCTATAAAGCAAGGGCAAGGAATATAAAAGAGATAGGAAAGACCTGTAAAATGGCCTAGGGCTTGAGGAGAGGTTTTCATCATTAGAAGAGTAGGAGAGATGCATAATTTTGTCCACATCTTTTTTTAAGAGAGGGGAGAAAACTGAAGTTTGAGAGAAAGAGGTCTGCTGTAGTCAAAGCGAGAAATGATCACGACATTGACCATAGTTTTAGTTCAGGGGTCTTGAAACCTGTGGCCACATCCGGCCCGCCTTGCTGTTTTATCTGGCTGAATCCCTTCAGCACATGCACGGGCAGGCGGGGGGGCATGCAGGTGGGTGTCCATGCATGCACACGCATTCCTGTTCCTTCAGGCCCTCAAAATGTTGAAAATATCCAGTGACGGTCAAAAGTTTAGAGATATCCATCACGGTCAAAAGTTTAGAGATCCCTGCTTTAGTTAATTGGGCTGATAGATTCTGTGTCCTATAAGGAGATGTAGCACAACTAGGTTATTGAACAAGCAAGAGAGAATGGTAAGGTTTAAGCCAATGTTGCATATGAATTGAACCAGGCAAATTTAAAATGAGAAGGGTAGAGAGAAATCATCAGTACAGTGGTGCCTTGACTTAGGAACTTAATTGGTTCCAGAACTCTGGTCGTAACTCGAAATGGCCGTAAGTCGAAGCACCATTTCACATAGGAATGCACTGAAATGCAATTAATCCATTCCGGCCAAAGAAAAAAATCACACACACACAAAAACCACTGCAAGACCCATTGGAAACATGAATAATCCATTCCGGCCAAAGGGGGGGGGGAGAAAAGCAAAGAAACCATGCAAGATCCTTTGGAAATGCAAAAAACGCAAAGCAGAAAGCAAACAAACCATGCAAGATACTTCAGAAATATATAAAAAAGCGAAAAGCTAACAAACCATGCAAGACCGTTCAGAAATGCAAAAAAGCAAAGCAAAAAGCAAACAAACCCTGCAAGACCTATTGGAAATGGGGGAAAGAAAAAAAACCCTGCAGGACCCATCACAGCATAGAAACATAATCCCACCACCCAGCCCAAAACCATGCTGCAAAACCCACCCAGAACAGTTTTTTAAAAGTAGAAAGCAGCACCTTACCAGGCAGTCCGAAGCCTCCTGCAATCGCACACTCTCTAACTGCTGGAGTGAAAGAGCTACAAAGAAGCAGCCTCTTTGCCACCAATGGTTAGCAATTTAAATTCCCCGGCTTTTTTTTCCTGCTTTTTTCTGCTTGTATTTCTAGGCTCCGGTCACAAATAGAAGCACAGTTTTGTGGCCGGAGCTGCTGGTAACTCAAAATAGTTGTATATTGGGACATTCGTAAGTCGAGGCACCACTGTAGTTCATTTCTGGATATATTGAGTTTGTGTGTGTGTTTACTTGTTTACTTATTTTTACCCCTTGTTTCTCCTTAAAAAGAACCTAAGGCAGCTTATATCATTAAAACACAATATTTAAAGCTAACTACAGTGAGTATACAAATGCTAAAAATGATCAAATACCATACTAAAAAACAGTGAACAAAAGCAACACCCATTCAAATCAATAGGGTACAACAGCACATTTAAAAACCACATTCAGGAAGGCAGTCACTCATGGAAAGCTTGCCTGAAGAGAAAGGTCTTCAGCTGCGAAAGTAAATATAAGGCCAGCCTGGCCTCCTGTGGAAGGGAGTTCCAAAGTCTGGGACCAGCAACAGAAAAAGTCCTCTCCCATGTACCTGCTAAACACACCTGTGAAGGTAGCAGGACCAAGAGAAAGGCCTCTCCTGGTGGGCACATGACACAGTCAAGAAGAAGATGCTGGGCTAGAGGGAGGACTCGGCGAATGGAGTAAAGGGATACAACTGGGTGTGATGAGCATATAGATGGTACAGAAAATATGGAATGTTGTAGTAAAGTCATCAAAGGAAATAGTATAGAGAAGCAGAAAGTGTGGAGTAGAACCTACGTAAGAAAGCCCCATAGACCTGACCCCCAATGGAAATCCTGAATGAAAGCTCAGAAGAGAGGACAAGGTATCAAGGAAGATTATCTGCTATGCCATAAACAGATGATGGAGAAGGTGAACAGAGTGCAGATTGTTAGGTGATAAGGCCATCAGTGATCTTAGCAAGGGCATTGTGGGTAGCATACAGAGGAAGGAGCTAGATCATAGGGAGTAAAAAATTAAAAGAGAGACACTCAGGTAGAGGGGAACAGCCTGCTTAATATTGAGGAAGACAAAGAAGAGAGAGGGAACTGACGAAGTAAGATTATCAGTGACTCGGGTTCTGGGATATTTTTAACTACTTCCAGATACTGTTTAGAAACAAAGCATGTTGCAACATTATTTTACTAACTGGCTATGTCTCTTGCCCAATAAACACCCCTGGTTTCTTTTAAAATGGTTATGTTTTTCTCTGGTTCATTAAACAGGGCAGTTTCCCAGTTATCTAATAGTTGGATTATACTTTTTTTCTGAATCAAAAGTAGAAGCATGATTTGATTTTGCAATTAAAAAGTATACCTTTAAGGTTCAGCCTTATACACTGAGGACATAAGAATATCATACAAGGGTATCCCACCATTGCTTTAAACAAACTTCAAAGCAACTATGTCAGCTTTCTAATTTTGTTCAGTTGAATAACACTTACAAGGTAACGTCAAGGGCACAAAACCCTTGAATTGCTAACATCACATATATACTGCTTCTAGTCAATGTTTTTATCATGCAGGGACCTTATCTCATTCATAGAAGTTCATAGGATGCCAAATAATATCTTTGATTTGTAATCCTTCCTTGTTTTCCAACCAGTTCTGTATTTTTGTCCCCATCCCTACCCCCCCACCGCAAAAGAGGAGAAAGATTAAACAGTACAATGTCTTTTGATTGATTGTGATAAAATATATCTTTTCAGACTTACCCATTGATTCAGGAGTCTGAACTGGCTGTGACTAACCAGGATAGATAGCTTGGGATTCTGGTGAATAACTGAACAAAAAAATTAACTTTGGTGTGCTACAGCAAATTCCATGCTAGGTTTATTAGGGAAGGGAAGGGAAGGGGGAGAGACTGCCATTAGCACAGTGATGTTTTGTAAATCTATGTAAATGCTATCTTAAAATATAAATTGTTCACAATTTCTTTAAAAGTACTGTATGTTGAACAATTCCATTGGGGAGGTATCAAAAACTACAACATCTATTGTATTTTAGGGAGCCTGGAGCACTTCCCCTATCAGAAAGGATGGCTCAGACACTTGAAACTTTGTAGTTTTGGGCAGTAGGGAGAAAGATAAATGCTAAAGAGCTGGAATAATTTAGAAAATTATACAAAGCTGTTTTCTTCTCTGATATAGCAGAATTGGGGACACCCAATGGAGAACATCAGTAGTAGACTCAGAAAGGACTAAAGGAAATATACCACTCAATATCACTTGCTTTCATGCTTTGCTGGTGGGTTTCCAGAAAGCCATCTGGCTTGCCATTGATGGAAACATGATTTTGGGCTAGATTGATTCTTAGTTTTATCTAGCAGAATTTTAATTATGGCCTGCCTCTTCATCAGGATGACCCAGGACTGGGGAACTTATGAACCTTCTGGTCTTGTTGGACTCCATCAGCCCCAAATACAGTAATCAGGGTGATGGGTGTGGGAGTGGAACAATATCTGAACTGGACCACAGAATCCCTACCTCTAATAAAATCTAATCCTCCGTGTTCTTTTTTGATTGTGGTGAAGTGTGACAGAATATTGGGAGTTGTCTCCTGCATATACTTTCTGTTTTACCAATAACTATGGTTTAGCTCCAAAACAGCTCTCAGTGGTGGCCAAACACCCAGCACTAGACAGATTCCCAGCACTCTGAAGCAATTTTTAAGATGTCTGCAAGATGCAGGAGGGAGGGAGATTGTCCTCTTTCTATTCCACTGATAAAAGCATGCCCCACTGGATCTTGCTCTGACACTGCTAAAGATGATGCATAAGATTAGAGAGTGATGCTTTCTGAAAAGTTAAGCATTGTTAAGTAAAGGTAGTTCTTAATGTTCATCTGCTTTTAATTATTCAAGTGTATTTTATTTCATGTATAATTTAATTATTTTGTAATGTTTACTTTTGTTTTTAATTCTATTCTTTAAATTTTGTGAGGCGCCTTGGGTCCCCTTATCAGGAAAAAGGCGGCTTATAAATAATATAAATATACAAATAAAATATGCAGCAGATCCATAATATACTTATATTAACCAGCACTGTGGCACATTGAAGACTAACAATTTTTACTATGACGGAATCTTCCATAGCCAAGAGCTGAGCTCATTAATATAAAAAAAGACAGTACATACAGAGTACAATGTGGTGGTTACATGGATTTTTTTTTTAATTCTCTTTGGAACAGGCAGCTACTGAAAACTGAGCTGGGGTCTTTTTTTACTGAATATTTGCAGGTTTGTACAGTTTTTTCTTTGTTGTGCTTATTCCTTCTATTTAATTTTTTAACCGCACTGTTGGAAACACTATTCACCCTAAGAATTTTAAGTAATAAAATTAGTCTGAGCTTTGCCTTCCCGAATAAGTGCTTTCAGAAAAAATATATTGCAGGGCTTCATTGGGCTTGCAGTAATCTTTAAAATGCAAGGCCTGTTTTCTCACTGAAGAGTTCAACTTGGACAAGACAGCATTTTTTTTGGCACCATGTGGAAATGTGCATGCTTGAATAAGTCCTTCATATAAAAATATTTCTTCCATATATTGAACCAGTGTTAGTCCTGTTGAAATGCAATTTAATATTAAAGAAATTCCGGAGCTGGAATCCCCCAAGGCAGTTCGTTTTGCACTTCCAACTCCTGCGACGTTGCTGGAACCAGTTGTATTGGCTCTTGCCTTTCCATTGGACCATTTCAGCAATGTGGAGAGGGGGGATTTGCTGCTTGGGTAACAGCCTATCCTCCATATTACTTTACCCAGGCTTCATGCTCTGGAGAGGATACTCCTCAATCCAGAGAATGTTACCATGGTCTCTTGAGACTGAAGGATGCCTATGATTAAAGTAATTTAAAAAACACACACAACTAGAGCTGCCATCTTATGCACACTTGGATGAGTGTAATAAGTTCCATACGAGTTACACTCGTGTGCATAAGATTGTGCTGTACATCTGTTTTATCTTTTCAGCATATGTATTGAACATCTCAAAAGTATAGCAAGAAATATTTGGAGGAACATTTCCAAGACAGTGATATAAAGAGTACTGTCGTGGCGTGACACTGAAATGTGGTGAATATTTCAAGTTAACACACCAAATTTAGTGATTACTTTTCATAACCAATAATCATAGCTTCTTAATGGAACAAAGAATATGTGATTTAGTTCAGAACTTCTAGAGATCCAGAAAAATTGGGCTTGTATACACTAGGAATGCTATTTGTTTCCAAGAACTCTCTCTAGTTTCTAATTGAAAATTGAAGATATTTGTTTGGAAGACTTGGGGACTGTGTAAGAAGCAGTGGGTAAGCTGTGCATTAGCTGCTTCTGCTATGAAGAGAGTTTGTCAGTGGTATAGTAGACATGTATTAGGATACACCCTGTTAAGTGGCTCATACTACATGGCCCATAATCACAACTTAGAAAAATTACTTTTCCAGATTACTGCTTTCGCAGTTCCTCAGCTTTATGGGCTGGAAGATTCTGGGAGTTTTAGTTTTGAAAAGTAGCTTTTCTCTTCCCAGAGTCTTCTGCCTAGATGCAAATGTTGCTTGGCAGACAAGTCTGTAAGGAAAGCATTCACAGTCAATCAAGGGCCTGAAGGTCACTGTGTGTGCCATGGGGCGGTGGGAGGGGGATTCCTCAATCACAACTTGCATGGAACAATAAGAGCTACACGATGCATAATTCCAGTATCTCTCTGTGTATGTGTGTACATACTGTTTATTTTTTAATCATCTTCCCTTCATAAAGTCACAAAATGTGAAGCTGGTAAATCTTGCACAATGCTCTTACTACCTACGTGGCCCGAAATATAATGTAGCAACTCTTCTAATGAACTGCCAACAAATAAATGAATAATAATCAAGCAACCAAGTAGCCTACCTCATGGTTGAAAAACAATAATTGCCAAAGATTCAGGGTTAGAGGGCAAGAGAAATAAAAAGTTATTTTAAATTGTATTTACAGAACCAGCTACTTACAAAAGGCATGGTAATCCTGAGGGACAAGATCCGGTTTTATGAAGGTAATCGAGACATCAATTATGCCCGCTGAGCCTCATCCAGATGCACATCAAAATCAAAACTCTTCTTCAGTTGGCTTCAGACCACAACCTGTAATAACAGCCCACTTCTGCCTCAGTAGTCATTTAATGTTCCTACCTGCTGAACAAGGAAATTAAATTTGTCTGGCTCATCAGCCGAGCAAATGGCAGCCTCCATGGTGGCCGTTTATGTTTCCCTCAAATTATAAGCTCCTTTATGACTAAATAGCCTTGTGAAGGTTGGTAGAAAGCTGCAGAAGCTAGTTCACTAAAAATATTATTTCACTTAGCCTCTGCCCTTCTTCCAAACATGTTTATCCATGTTTCCCTGGCAACATCCTATCCAGGGTCTGCTTGGGACCAATAATGACCTAACCGTCTGCAGTGTTATGTGGCCCAAAATTGTTCTCTGGAACCTGAAGAAGGCATGGGATATCAACCTTTGATTACACGGTCACCCTAAATTAGAAGGCATGCATCCCACCCTTGCCACCATGGGACAGGTTAAAGTCTAGAAGCCCCTTGCTAGAGACCTTATCAATCTCGCCCTCCCCCCCCCCAAAAAAAACACCTTTTGTGGAAAATAGGTGGTCTGGAAAAGAAATCAAACATTTTTTTAGAACTTCATAGAATGTGGGGTTGAGAAACTACCTGCATCCCATTTCTTGACTGGCCCATTAAGAGAAGGAAAAGAAGAAGAAGAATTTTTAAAAATATATAACTGATGCAGCACATCAGTGACAATCTGTTACATGGAGCAGAGGAAGGAGCAGAGGAAGTGATTAATTTGCCAATTAAAAAAAAAATCACTTGCCAATCTGCCAAGGAGCAGAGGAAGTGATTAATTTGCCAATATCCTGAACTGACTCACTTACTAAGGCTTGTTTTGGATGTAGGAGCAATTTCTGTGTGAACCGTTGGTCTTGATTAGATTGCTCTAATCAAGCTAGACTTCCAGAGCACTAGCTTGCTCCCTGATGCTAACGTAATTGCACCGTCATTTAACTGTGCTGGTCCTGCTTACTGTGTTCAGGCCACCCAAGCTTGGAATTTTGGGCTGCAAGCCTATCACCCGAAGGGTGAAGTTTTTCTTTTTTAACACGAAATGCACACAATGGTAGGCGTTGCTGGATGCGCACTCTCTTGCATCGAGGCAAAACGATTGGTGCTTCTTTCATGGAATACAACTTGAGCAAAAACGACCCAATTCAGCAGGCAGGGCCAGCTCTTACAAAAGCTGATTCATGCTTTGTGCAATACATAAATCTTCTGCACATCTTCCCATAACGTTGCACAATGTTTCAAGGCTCCCCAGCAGATATCTATCCATTTGCCTAGTTATGTTCCTGTTGTACACAATGCATCCTGTTCATCTGTGTTTTAGTTGCTTGTCTCTCAAATCTATACAAAGGGCACAGTGACAAGCAGCTGAAAAACATAGACCTCCCAGTTCAACTGTAATGCATGGTGCAAGCATTTGGCAGCTGCCTTTCCCATCTATATACAAAATACTTCAGATCTGAGATGCCCTTTGGTTTACGCTATTTGACTATATGCATTTTTCCCAATTTACAGGACAGAAACTTTTGGATACCTTGGCTGAAACGTGGGATTTCTTTTTCAGTGATGTCCTGCCCATGCTTCAGGCTATATTCTATCCCGTACAGGTAAAATATTACTTTGTTATTTTAGAAACCAGAAAAACCGGCAGAAGCAGCTCTCCTGGTTGTTAATCAGAGAACCAGAAACTCTCAGGCACCTCTTGGGGCAAACTGACACTTTCTTCAAGTGAGCAAAACACATTAAAGCACTCTCTGGGCAGTTTGTAAGTACACATGCCCCCAGCGAGCTAGATACTCATTTTACCCAAAATGGGGAATTTGGCATATGCTTCTCTGTCCTGGTGTGATGTTCAGGTTGTCAACTATGATTCTGAATAGCAAGACGTCCCTCCAGTCTCCCTATTTGTCTGCATCTAGTACTTCCAATAAAGATTCCTCATGATCCAAAACAATCTTGTAGCGTGCTCCGCATTCCCAAAGGGTATTAGGATTTTTCACCAAGAGCAAGTACCTCTGCAATACTTCTTACTAGGAGTACAAATCTTTGCTCATTTCATTTGAGCAAGAAAACTGCTCTTGTCACTGGACAAGATTATGAGAGCAGTTGTGTTTTTGGTTTGTTTGTTTTTTACATTTCAGGACTCTGAAAAATTCACACAAGCAGTTTTGTTCAAATTACATATATTCGAGGGAGGGGTGCATAAAAAGCCATGCTGCATTGTGCAGGGGTTGTTTTAGTCAGGGTTGATGATGACATGAAAAAAGGATTTTAGGCGTTTTGGTCTCATGCAGAAACAAAACAGTAATGGTTCACTGCTTTTTCCATATGAAATGGTGGGTCAATACCCCCTTTTTGATCAAAAATGAGAAAACGTGCAAGTATTCTTTAATATCCTTATTTCTTAGTGTAATGTTTCCAGTTTATTTGGAGCATCATGTAAATTCCAGTTTTAATCCCAGTCTGAAGCTCATTTTGTCTTGCTTCCTTTAGGAATCTGGCTTTTCCATAGTTCTTAGACTGATTTCACCACTGTGTCTCAAATCAGACGTATGAGAAGTTGCATATATTTTGCAGGGATTCCGCTTACAAGTTGGAACATAAATGATATTTGGAAAATATGTGTGCAATTCAAATTTGATGTAAAAATGAATTAGTGAATAGATCTGATTAAATCATTTACTCCTCAAAAATCATCAGACTCTTAAAGTGCTTGACTTTACATGTTTTTTGTGCAGACAAAAAAGTAAATGCAGCATCAACAAAAATGCTGTACGTAGACCAAAATCCAAGTGTTGTTTACATAGTGGCCAAAATCTAGTAATGTAACATTATGCTATGTGAGCCTGATGAGGCCCTATTTTGTAAATTAAAAGTTACCTCCCACCCCACCCCACCCACCTCCACACACCCTGGTTTCCTAGGCTCCCTTAGGATCCTTTTAGTCCTGGGCAAGCCTTTGGGGACAGCTGGGGGTGGGAGTGGGGTCTTAAATATCTGAAAATGAGCCTCGTGGCGCAGTGGTTCTCCACACACCCTGGTTTCCTAGGCTCCCTTAGGATCCTTTTAGTCCTGGGCAAGCCTTTGGGGACAGCTGGGGGTGGGGGTGGGGTCTTAAATATCTGAAAATTGCCAGTACCTGTCCCAATGCCTATCGGGGTTCCAGTGGTGGTTATATTTCAGACACTTAAGATTCTTTCTGCTGTGGTGGGGTCTTAAATATCTGAAAATTGCCAGTACCTGTCCCAATGCCTATCGGGGTTCCAGTGGTGGTTATATTTCAGACACTTAAGATTCTTTCTGCTGT